TAAACGTAATCGAGAATAATCTTGTTTACCTATCGCGACGATTTTCAGTTTTTAACGCGAATTTAGATAGCGTTTCATGGCCAGAAATTAAACCGGTAATCCCGGGGAGAGGTGAAAGGATAGGGGAAAAAGGAGGATCGGGAGCGCAGAGCCAGGGAGAGAAAAAGGCAACGACGCGTGCTAACTGAAGGGGAAGAGAAGACACGAGAAAATAAAGACAGCAACGAGAGAAATGCCATAACGTTCGTTCTTATTAAAATGCAAAGTGCGTCTGATTGCAGACGGATGCAGAATTGCCGGACGGGCACTCGGCCCTGTCAGTATCAGGCCGATGAGGAACCAGAAACCATCAATAACTAGCGGAACCGGTGCTCGCTTAACTCTAACGAAGGACGATTTCTAACGATCCCCCGGCAACGTCCAACTTCTGGACGTAATTAATTCCCCGGCTAACCCGGAATGCTATAATTAATTGCCGGTGGCTGATGAGGGGTAGAAGGGTGGCTGCAACAATATGTACCCGGTTCGATTAGAAGCACGGACCTCCGTGCAGTTATGCAATTAATTAAATTCAGTTTGTTATGCGCGACCGATTGTTAATTACCGCTGAAGTTCGAGAAACCGGTGCCCCCCGTCCAATTGCCTCGTGTCTCCAAACACTCCGTCGTTCCCTGCTACCCGTCGAAACAGCCATAATTACTCGTCATCGAGGCGGTAAACGTTTTTCCTTTCCTTCTATTCCCACCTCTCGCTCTTCGGCGTCGAACAACCGAGTCATAATTAAGCTAGAAACGAGCTTAACTCGCTTTTCGGCCACGATCGCTTGCGGACGATTATCGTGGAAAAATAATCTCCGATTATTTCATTTTTTCCAGATCCAGATGTAATTCAGGGATGAGTGAACGCACCGACGAGAGGACGCAATGGCGTTCGCCAGAGAGACACCACGAGGATCAGCGTGTTCGACACAGGGGTCTCGAGCTGCTTGGCCAACAGCTCGGGGCAAGTGTCCATCGTTCGAATTTCTAAATTAAAACACGTCCGTCGGCGGGATAAATGAGAGGGAATAACGGCCCTCTTGATCGAACGGCTGGTCGCGGGTGGATCGTCGCGGCTGGCCGCAGATTATATTTAGAGGCGTCCGGGGGCGTCCGCCAAACATTCGTGGCAATTAAAGCGGTTCGGTAACGAGTTAGCGACAGTCAATTAAGAAAAATCCCGGCCCTCTATTATTAGAAATCGCGCGATCATTAGGGGGAATGAGACAAAGCGGATCGGTTGGTTCGGCTGTGGCAGGGGTGGGTGGGCGACGAGTTCCACTTCTAACGAGCGGAACACGCTGCGGCGTCGCGCGGCTTTTCGCGAGGGCACGGACAAACGCACGGCCTTCTATTTATAACGGCAACTTTTATTTAAAGTGGCATAAACTTATGGATATAATAGGTGCACGTCGGGGTTAAGGGGGACGCTCGTTGTGCCACGGCACACACCGAGTATCTGGCATTCTCCGTTCCGAGGAGGAGGCATTTAACGGACGTGCACGTGTTCGACCATATTGCATTTGTGTCGTTCGATAAATAGGTGGGTAAGCAACTCCAACGGAAACCCGTGTTAATTAACGTTGAGTTTCAGGACTGATTTACGTGGCGTCTAATTAGCGGGCCTGCCGGCGACGTAGTAGGCATTTTGATTGGCCACTCCGCGAATAGAGCACGGGCCGATTGGCCTTGCTTTCCTGTTCCGACAGTATCGATTGTTTTCGTTTCTTCTCCTGCCCTGCCGCCTCCTCCGCCTCGCCCCTTGCCAATCCCATCCCACGAAACCCCCACACACCCCGTGCAACCCCGTCCCAGCCCTCGTGCTTGCTCTTTTTACGATCTCCTCTTGGAACAAAGCGCGGATAGCTGGAGCAGTTGCGCGTCCTCAAAGGGATTCCGTCGCAAGAAGAGTGTCGGCTCGAAAATAATGTATTACGGCCGTCTGCTCGCCCATTAAACCGTGCACTTTTTACGCTATTATTAAACTTTTATTTCGGCCCACGGTCCCCGCGGGACCCCATGCATTGTTCTTCTTTTACATACTTGCGATCCTCCACCTTGTCCACCGCGCTTGTCCACCGAGTGATTCATGCACCCTGCACACCGGCAGGGTTATTAAGGATTCCTTAATTAATACATGCCTCTATTTTCCTTCTTTTTCCCTTCCTTTTCCCCCTTTTTCCCTCTTTTCTTTTTTATTCTCTCTCTCTCTCTCTCTCTCTCCCTCTTTCTCTCACTCTGTCTCACTCTACCCGGTTCTTTCCGGCCGAGCGATGACCACCGCACCACCTCGTTCCATTTCCTCCTATTTGATTTTTTTCTCGCGTTCCGTATGCAAGGGATGGCGCCCGGCTTTTCTTTATTCCCTTTTCCCTTTCCTGTTCCCGTTGCGTTACAAAGATGGAATTGGTTTGTTCCTTTGAAGTTAATTTACAGGGGCTAAATTCAATTTGCAGGCACCAATGGCTGCCAATTACCGCGGCCTGCGTGTATAATAATTCGATCGGGCACGAGTGGCCCCGGCGCTTATGCACTGCGTGTATTTAAATTGCGTTATTGTCGCACAATAGTTTCGTTTATCGTGCGCCCAGGAAACAATACAGCGCGGTGTACCGTAGTTCGAACTATGCTCGATTCCATTGTATTTTATTAGCAACCTTCCAATAAAATCCGATTACACGAAAAATTGATTGCGCCCGTTCGTTTACCGATTCCCCCGTTTCGCAGCCGTGGTGCGGGCAGCAGAATTTTCCGAAAAATCGATCGCCCAAAGCCACGGAACTTTAATACGAGAGTTCTCTGCTGCGGGGACGTTCCCATCCCGTGATCTATAATCGATCCTGGATCACCCCGGTTAAACCGTAGCCGCGTATTTGCGTGGAAGCGTAAGAAATTATCTGAGTCCTTGAATAATTCGTCGCGAGTGTTTTATTCGATCGTGTCGTCGTTACCAAACGTTAGTTGGGATTGAACGTGCGTTACAAGGTATGTACATGTTACACATACACACATACATACGTGACATTTCTAGAATATAGGAGATATAGGTTATATTTTAACGTGACATCGCAATTCCGAACAAAGTATTTCGTAAATTCTTGTCGTTTCATAACGTCGATTATAAAATCACTTACAAAGTACGTATTTAAATATTCGTTCTCCTTATTCGTCGATTTATTGATATATAAATTCTCCCGATAGGCCTGCGTGGAATATACAGTGACCTAGAGACGTTACTCACCGATGATATTTCCGTCGGTAAAGTAGTCACCTGCTGATACCATAACCTCCGACCGAGAACCTTTTTAACAATATCTCTTAAGTACGAAACTTAACCATGCTTTTACGTTCGTCTGGCCACGAGGAGGCCGAGAAGAATCGTCGAAAATAAATAAAAACGTCTCCAAACGAAATTACGTTCCTCTCCTCTTTTACAGAGACCTACATATACGACGCGTAATGTCCAAGCCTGCCACAGATGTCGCGCCCGTCGCGTACCTAAATCGATCGGTCCTCGATCCTTTTATAAAACCCTTTGGTTATTCCCTTTACCATCGTCATCCGCGCTATATTTTCTCAATATCGAACCAGGAGTTCAGGAAAATTCTCCGATCATCGAAATCATTCCTGGAAAATTTCGCGCAGCTTTCTTCGAATGTCTACGTTTCGCTGCACGCATGCGTATGGTTTATATAAAGGGAACATGGGAATCCCCTTATTATTAAACAGCGATTAGCATCTAATGATAGAACAGAGAGTATTATTCGTTGAATAGAACCATCGTTCGAGGAATCAGTGCCGGCTGTTGGTGCGCGAAAAACATATTCGTAGCGTTTACAACGCGGCTCTCATTAGCGCTGGAATCACTAGCTAGGGCTATCGGGAGTTTCGGCCGTAAGTCACTAGCGCGCTAGGGGAATCGGTTACCCCGGCCGACGGGTTACTGCAAATGGATTTGCTCGAGAAGATGATACGTGGATGCAGCGGACACGGTGCCCTCGCGTTCTTCGTACCACGACAAAGACACCCTATATACGAGTTCCACCATTTCTTTTTTCCCTTTTATCAAAATTCCTGCGCCCAACCGCGTGGAATCACGACCGTGAAATTCGATATTCAATAGCCGCTTTTCGGTTGTCCGCTCGCAGCGTTGCTCGCTCGTTCGCGATAAACGTTTGTTTATTTTACTCGCGCGTTATGGGAAAATGCGAGGCACGAGCGGGTAGACAGCGCGAAATGAGGCGCGGACCGGTAAACGGCGATCATCTTCGTTGATTATGACAGTTACCGGGGAGAGAGGAAAATTCGACGATAATTCCGACGATTTGCGCCGGTGAATATCGCGGAAAATCATGGGGGAAATTCGCGAAAATTTTCGGAAATTCTAACGGATCTCGCAGCACGATGCTCCCGTTCGTTCGGTGACCTTGGAAAGTACTCTCTCGACCCTCTTGCGTTTTCTTTTTTCTGCCGGGAGATACGGCATTGCCATCGCGTGCTCTCTCTCTCTCTCTCTCTCTCTCTCTCTCTTTCTCTGTTCGATGACAAAACAACTTCCGCGTCCCGGGGAAACTTTTCCCCTGTCTCCGAAAACGCGGCCAATAAGTTGGCGAAGGTGGAGGCATGAAAAGTTTGGAAAGCTCGCTCATTAATCTCGCCACGCTGGCTACGGTATCTCGCGAGATTCAATTTCTTAAATTGGACAGTAACGTTCGCTTACCTCGAAGTCGTTCGGGCTCCCCGTCTGCGTCTGTTCGCGGAGGAGACTGCCAAGGAAATAATCGCGAGTGTGTACGTATATACGCTCTGCGGAAGAACTGGGACGGATGCGATATTCGTACACACGCGTGTCGAGTTGACGTGCAGCACGATGAAAAGAGACATGTGATTCGCATGAACGAACGACGTTCTAAAAACTTGTGATTTTTATTTAATTAATAAACGTGTCTTGTATGTTGTGTGTGTGTGTCCGTGTGTATTTCTTTTTTTTTTTTTGTATTTTACAAGAGGCCGCGAAACCATTCAGAGATGTCGGGTCCCGGATAAGAAGATCGAGATAAATCAAATAACAAAATTAACTAAACGCGAAAGATCGTGAGCTGATCCAACCGCGTGTACGCTCAACCGAGGACGACGTTTCGCGACGAAACCAGCGCCACTGGATGCCAGCCACACACGCAGGGAAAATAACCGCTCTCTCTCTTTCTCTCCATTTTTCTCCGACCGTTCCATAACCGCGAGCGACACCAAGCGCCATCTCGCGGCTCGTTCCCGAAACGCGCGGACAGACCCTCTAGAAGCCGAGGCACCCTCGGAACCGTTGGAACGCGGGCAATCGGAACGCTTCCGATTGGCCATCATGGCGTCCCGACGCGAACCAGAAGCGATACAAAGACGGAACAAAACCGGAATTACGGCTAACCATAGAAAGGGAAGAAAAGTTACTCGTTAACGCGAGAATCGGTTCAACAGGCCGAGCTCGCGACCGACGAAAGCGATTACTTCGCTCGAACAAGCAACGAAAGCAGCGAATCGAACTTAGGCGAATCGAGATCGGCGCGTGCATCCAGTGGCGATGGCCGTCGAGCCATCGTACGCGCGATCGCCCGTTTAAAGGACGTGCGGAGCCCCGTCGCCGCATTTAATAGTAAATACATAACCATTTATATCACACAAACTTTTAACAATATACAAAATGTACCCTATGTACAAGATTAAATTACACGATCCGTCAGCGAACGACTCCCTTCGTCCGATCGAGCATCTTCGATTGCAGATGAGCAGTCCCGATTTTCGGCCGCGTTTGCACGCGCGCCGTTCGATCGAAGGGTCGACGGAGTGGCGAACGCGCGCCAGGTCGAAGAGGAATCGGCGCGAAATCGGCAAGGGAACGGAACGCACTCCCTTGGATCCCTCTCGTCGAGCACCGTCGCGGCGATCGGGCGTCGAAAAACGTCGCCGGTCCGCTTTTTTTCCTTTCTTCCTTCTTTCTCTCACTTTCTCTCTCTCTTTAGCTCCATCATTCTCGCCACGAATCCTCGCGTAAGCGCGCGGCGGCGTTCCGAGAGACGAAAGTTTCGCTAAGAACGAGACGGGTAAACGAGTAACGATCAGTTGCACGGCGCGGAGCCGGTCGTTCGGTCGCTTTATAGAATTTCGAGCGTGGCTCTTGTCGATCGGTTGGAAAATAAAGCCAATGAAATAAAAGAGGGAAGAGACTGTCGAGGAAACGGGGAAAGAATATCGACTGGGTGTATTTTATTTCGCAAACAAAATATGAACGACGTTCGAATGGGGAGGGGGGACCGTGGGTTTTACCATCGTGAAAATTGCCGATCGTTTGCCAACGATTTCTCTCGTGTCTATTATTTAACGGCTAAATCTACGCGATGCACGAATTTTCCCGAGCCTTTCCCGGTGCCGGAGGTTCGTTCGACGTATCCCGCGAGCGATTCGGAACGAAACGAAGCGCGACAGGAGTGTATTTCGAGGATGAGAAATCGACAAGAAAATGTGACCGCCATAAAGCGAACCGAGCCAGCCGTTTCCGCGTGATTTACACCCAAAACATGTGTCTTTAGTTTCGCATTGAGCTTCGAACGTGCCCGGGCCCGTGTCGTTTCCGGTTCCCCTCGCCTATCGCCGCGTGCTCCGCGGCGGAAGCAGCGCGTCTTGATGGAAAAGGAAACACTTTGTACAACTTCTCGCGAGGGGGGCTCGAACGGGGAACCCGACAACGGGCACGGGCGATAGTAGATACATCGTAACGTGTTCACGATTATACATTTACGTAAATGTTTATTGCGGATGTCGAAACCCCGCCACTTAGAAAAAGTATTGTTACACGCTTCAATCCTTCGCCAAGAGCGTCCTCGGGCATCGGTGCTCGCGTTCTCGTCGACCGACAGTGTCTCACAGCCCCCCGTTCCCCTTTGCGGGAGAGAACTCGATCGTTCGTAATCGTGCACCCTGAAATCTTCTCGTTAAACAGAAAAATAATCGACGAAGCATCGTTTATTTCGCATCTTCGATGAAAAGTTTCGATTTTTCATAGGGTTCACGATCCATCGATCTTCCCGATCGAGTGTCTCTTGCTTCACGATCGTTATTGGCGTATGAAAACGGAAACTGTACTGTGTAGTATCGATAAATTTGCAACGTCGCCGATAACAAACGTGAACATGCCATTGGATAAATAAAATCCGCGTTCTTGTTCGATAAATGTCGCGTAACGCCTCGCGAACCGTTTTATTCGTTCTGATTACACAAGCTGGATCGGGGAATTTCGCGAAGGGAGAAAGCACCAGTTCCCCGACCGCGAGGGAGCTGCGGCGTTGACAAGGAAAATTCGAATGATAATTTCGCCCGTTCGACGGTTTCACCTCGGTGTGGCCTTTTATTCGACGGCAGGAGAGACTCGATTAACGATCGCGAGAACAAGGAACGCTTAATGAGTTTACAGGGAGAGGCCGTGTCTCGGGGACGGAGATGGGGGGCGTCGGTGATTTTGAAAGAAAAATAATTTTCTAAGGGCCGGGACCTGACGTTCTCAATCGCCGAATTATCCGAGCACCGGTCGATGGAATTTTCTTCCTACATACGTGACGAGCTTTGGATCTCGAGGTCTCCGCGTCGGATCCTCCGATCCTCGTGAACTACAATGGAAGGAATACGAACCACGTGTTCGAAAGGTTCGATCGGTTGGAGATCTCGATAAACGAACGGACTATTCCTCAATGGCGCTTCTTCTCTTGCACGTCGGGGCGAAATGAGTTGTCAAACGGAGATAAACATCCAATCGAGTCGATGCTACACACGCGGTATTCTCGAATTAAAAGGTGGAAATTTCAGCAAACTCGCAGAGATCGCGTTCAACGCTTACGAGATCCGAACCGAACGAGACCATTAGGAAGCAAACGCGAGCAGAGAGTATCCAGCGCGGATACAAACGCTTTACTACCAGAGGAGACGCTGCGAAACACGAGCGCGAAAGTGATTGCCGGTTGCCTGACGCGCGATTAACAGGATTACCGATTCGATTAAGCTGGGACGAGAGCACCGAAGAATCGGACGGGAGCGAAGAAGGCTGGCGTTACGCTGCTGTCGGCGACGATAGAACGCGGCCCGTGCACCGAGACGCTTCGATTATTCTCGATTCTCCGTGATTGAGCAAAGATTATCGATTAGGGGGGAGACCAGTTGAGAAGATGCGTGCAGCGTTCTCGCACGTGGCCGAGCGCGCGATTCACCGAGCGATCCAACGGGACACGGCTGGAAAAGCTTCGCCTGGATCCTCCTCGAGCGGAGATCGAGATCGGCGACCGTGGTTGACCGCGCGTGCGCGCGCACACACACAAACTGTCACGCGGCGAAAGACCGAATCGAAGACGTGTTCGATCGGTCGGGACACGTCGAAAGACGAACAAGAAACATATTTTTCTCCATTGTTTTGCGGAGTTCTTCCTAGCGACATATGGTTCGGTCACAAGCAGAACGAGAACCTCGTTCACCGTGTTCCAGGCTCGATCCTCGTCCACCCGGATCATCCTTCGTCTCCTCTTGCGCTCGCACAGGGTTCGCGCGTTCACCTTCACAGTCCATCACCCCCGCGTGTCGTTCAATCGGCAAGAGAAGATGGCTCCCCGACCGGTTCAGTTCACGGTTCGTCGCGAAGGCTTCTCGGACGAGGGATCGCGAGCACTCTTGGTGGTGGTGGTTCTCTTCGCGTGGTACTTGGATTTTTCCCAACGACGGAACACAGAGGAAGACCGACGGCGGCGGCGGCGGCGGTGCTGAAGCCAGGGCGAGGATTCGTTCAGCCAGGAGACGGGCTGGCCCCGAGGGTGCTTGAACGGGGGTAGTAGTTCAGTCGCAGGTGTCCTGTGCCCACGGAGACCAGTCCTGATAGGTGGACCCCTGCAGGTGCGTTTGCTGTACCGCCAGTCCAGGATGTACGAGTCCCATCTGATGATGATGGTGATGGTGGTGGTGATGATGGTGGTACTGCTGATGACCCGGCGGAGGCGGCGAATAGGGATCCCCTCCGACGGCGACGTCCACGACATCGACCTGAGTCGGTACGACGGCGGGCGTCGGCTGTGGAGAGGCTTGTACCTTCTTCGGGCGACCGACCGGGTTGCCACCTCATTCGCGACTTCTTCGAGGCCGACCGACCTTACCTTTTCTTACCGGTGCGCCACCGTTTCCGGCCGCTGCTGCCGCCGCTGCGGCAGCCACGCTCGACGATTTCACGATTTTGTGCCAATCCGTCTCGCAGACCGGTGACCCCGACAGCAGGTAGTACCTGGGCAGAGAAATGGCAGCGGTTAGGCGCTGATGCGCTTCCACGGGGAGCAGGTTTTTATTTTAATTCGGAGACACGGAGCAAAGTGTATCGGGCGTGGTGTATCGCGTTGTAAGGACGATCACGTTCCAAGATACCGACACCCGGGGAAAATCTCGATGGCACGGAAAACACCGACAATCGTTTCACACGAACAAAAACCACGCTTCGAAACGAACGTCTGGCAATCAAGCGGAGCAGCACGGCATGCACACAGAGTATCGACGAAATCGATGCTCATAAACAAGATTGCTTCATTACCGGGCCGCGATAATTGTGTCCCTCCTCCTTTATTACAAAATCCCCGGTTCCGATCCCCACCAATTAACCGACAGTCCCGCGTGACACGCCTCTTTTCCAACCCTTTAATTGCCGCGTTTCCTCATCGGGTCGTATCTATGCTCCCTAGCAGAGTTGGCTTCAATGCTAACCCTCTCGACCGATTTCTCCCGATTTCTTCCGATTTCTCCCGATTTCTCCCGATATCCCTTTGAACCCACCACCGATCCCGTCCTATCTTAGTCCCCCGAAGAACCGTGGAACACGCGAGCGTTGTCAATGTTCCGACGTGTTGGTGGTACACGCGCGGCGGGGGTTTATTAGTCCGATCGAGGTCTTACCTATCGCCGGAAACGAGTTGATTGCCGCATTTGCTGCAGGTGAAGCATTTCTGGTGAAATACCGATCCACCCGCCCTCATTACTAGCTCGGTGGCAGGTATCGCGTTGCCGCAGCCTGCGCAAGCACCACCGGTCCCGAATATCCTGAAACAATCGTGAACAACCGTCGATTAATTAGCCGTGTCCATTAGCCGTGGATTAGATTAATTCGTTAGATTAATTTTAACTTTAATTCGGGATACACGGGATCGACGATGCACGGTCGATGGAAAGAGAGTGGTTGGGCAGAGGGAGAGCGCGGGTTTTCGAGGCGACGTTAAACTATGGCGAAGGGTAAGATTGATTGGAGAAGGGGCGGATAAAGCGAAACCGCGCGCTAATAATTACGAGATTTCTCTTTGTTCGTGGAAACGAATATTTCTACGTTCATTAATGTTTCATTGGGTTATACGGGTAGCTGGCTGCACTAACGAGTCCAGATTTACGCCAGCAACGTATTATCAATTCAATGATGTTGACTGAAAACTGATAATTCGCAAAAACATAAGTAGATGTATATATGGCGGGTGTTGAACGTATGCAGTTCGTATTATCGGGGCATTAACAAAGCGATTTTCCCTCCATGCCGCTACGAATAAATCGATTCAGACGATGTACCGATCCGGACTAGTTCAGTCTTATTGCGAACAATCTGGGGAAAAATTGATTTTGCACCCGGGACCTTCGTCGCTTGTGCTCCATCTCAGTACGACTGAGTAAAATTTTATGGAAAACCACGTTCCATCGCAAATTATTCGAAATTCCAAAAGGTTAGCCAAACCTCTCGAGTACTTTAAAACTCGTCACACTTTCTTCCCATCACGAATTACTCGAAACAATGTCTGCCAACCATTTTCGAATCGTGAGTACACGTATTAAGCTACGAATAACGAACGTTTTACTAATTTCCGAACGCAAGAACAAATTACTACGAGACGATTGCGAAAAGGTTGAAAGATGTGCTTACGAATTGGAACAAATAGAGGAGGGTGGAGAGAACGAGGGGATAGTAAAATGGCTGAAAGGTGTAGAGAGAAGAAAAGCAGCAATGGATAAAGAATGTACAAACGTTTAGACGTTACAATATTAGACGTTACAATAGAGACAAACGGTAAGGAAAGATGCGAGAGAACGCGGATAATTGTGAACCAAGTCCATTTCTTGGCTTGCGAAAATTAAATTGCCGAAAATAATAAATAACAATAATATTAACAACAAATTACTGCGATTCCTCGAGAAACCAAAAATTTAGGATTAACCCTTCGCACTCGGCGATCTTTTCGTTACAGAGGCATAGTAAATCAAAGGTAAATAAGCACTGCAAATTAATTACAAGACGTAGAATGATTTTACCTGGATATTCCACGCGTCGTTGGGCAATTTTAAATTCGATATATTAATTAACAACGATCTTTAGAATTGGATTAAATGGCGACTGAGAGTCGCCTCTCGAGTTAAGCAAAGGGTTAATGCTAGATTAATGGCAGGTATCGCGCAGACTCGATATTCCTTCGCTAAAAGAGGGAACACGTTTATATTTTATTCCTGTACGCTGAAGGCAATGAAACACCCGTTTTCGGCATCCAACGAAATAATAAAATCAAGCATCCCCAATTCGGTAATAAATCAATCTTTTTTCCAAAAATTTGAGATTTCTAGCACACTGGCGGTATAAAGGGAAGCTATTTGGTAAAAAATATAAACCGGTAACAATATGAAAACGCCGTGGTGTCTGCGCGAAGCAAGTATCGACCTAACCATCCGTCGTTCTTCCCCGGTTTCAAACCCGACGCCGCCTCGTCGCGGATCTCCCGAACGTGTTCCCGAGGCTCGTCGCGGCGCGCCATTAGTCCGAATATACAAATTTATCATTGGGTAGGAGGGTGCCGGCGGCTGGTGTCCCCCGGAAAATCCTGGCGGTCGGATGAAGCGAGAAAGGCGACCAATTACGGCCGCGGCCGAGGGCTCAGAGGATGACATTCTCCGGCTCCGGTTTGAACGCGGTGCCGGGCGATAGACACGAGGCGTTTCCAATTAAACCTCGCGCCGGTCTCATCGCGCAAACACTTTCTAACTAAATGAGGTTAGGCCGGCAACAGAGGGACCGTGTAGAATCCTATATTCAACCCGCCACACGCTTCTCTTTCTTTTCTCCCTTATTATGCGTCGTCCCGCTGACGTTCCAGCTGCTTTAAACGACACAGAGAACGGGAGAGAGAGAGAGAGAGAGAGAGAGAGAGAAGAGAGATAGATGGAGGAATGGAGGAGGAAAGAGAGGCAGAGAGGGGTCGATTATAATAAGGCGTCGCATATATAATTGTCGCGGCGTCTTCGTTCGCGCGAAACCCGCTCGACACCTGTCCTTCTCTGCTTTCCTAAACGCGTTCCACAGGCTAGTCTCTAGTCGCGAGAACGGGGGAGAAAGGTAGGAAAGGGGGAAATAATATAGGAAAGAATAACGAAGAACAGGGGAGGGACGGAAGGAGGAAAAATGTTTGCGTCGCTGCGAATTTCGCGGCTTTCAGAAGCGGCCGTTGCACGACGAGCCGTTGCACTCGCTTTTGATCCCTTCGAAACAAGCACGCCTTCTTTCAGGCTAAACGTCGTCGTTAGCCGGCTACACCGACCAGCGAGTTAATAAACGCTTTCTCCCCCGCGGCCTACACCCCCTCGCCGCTGTCTCTATGTTCCGGTTCGCAATTAATACACGCGCGATATATAATTGATCGTAACCAGGGACCGACACAGGTTCTACGTATCAAGGCGCGAGACTACGAAGAACTTGTGACACTCTGTCAGCGCAGAGGGCGTCATCGTCGCTGGTTTCGGGGCATCTTGTTCCTCTGCGACATTAGACCCAAGATCGTAAGTGAAATCTCGATGGTGAAAGGGAAATATAATTTTAAAAAATTGTAATTACAATGGAGATTTTATATACCGTTTCTATCTTACTTCTTACGAAAGGTTGCAAGGGGTTGAAATAACAAACACGCTTCCTTCTCCTGCACCCTTATACCCCTGTTCTTCGTTGACGAATTACAATGATCAGAAAGGAAGATCAGAATCGGTGGTTTTGGGGCATCTTGTTCCTCTGTGACATTAGACCGAAGATCGTAACTAAAATCTCGATGGCGAAAGAGTGATATAATTTTTTGAATTTGTAATTAATGCAGATTTCATATGTCATTTGTACCTTACTTTTCAACGAGGGTTGCAAGAGGTTGAAATAACAAACATGCTTCCTTCTTCTGCACCCTTATACTCCTATTCTCCGTTGACCCATTCGAGACAGCGATTTTTTTCGAACACGGTCCCCATAAGCGACTACTCAGAATAACTGGTAAATGCTCATTGTTATTATTGCACACACGGTGTGCAATCGGTCTCGAATGGGTTAACGAATTACAATGATCAGAAAGGAAGATCAGAATCGGTGGCTTCGGGGCAGCTTGTTCCTCTGCGACATTAGATCAAAGATCGTAACTAAAATCTCGATGGTGAAAGGGTGATATAATTTTTTGAATTCGTAATTAATGCAGATTTCATATACCGTTTATACCTTACTTCTCAACACGGCTTGCAAGGGGTTGAAATAATAAACATGATTCCTCTTCCTGCACCCTTATACCGCCGTTCTCCGTTGACGAATTACAATGATCAGGAAGGAAGATCAGAATCGAGATTCGCGCGAAAAGGTCGGGGGACATTGCAAAAGGGCAGACGGATTAACCGAAAGCGGAGACACTTGGAAATTTCATCCGTCGCAATCGTTCGTCCGGCTTTTGTCGACGTTTTGCAAGGATACATTGTGAACGGTTCCTGTCGCCAGCTGGTCGAGCGTAAACGAGCGTAAACGAGCGTAAACTCGAATTCCAGAAATGTTCCGCCCCGTGCCCGGGGTTAAAACGAAGAAACGAATAAATCCGTGGCCCCTGGCTTCGTGCTTGGCGTTATCTCGAGATACCGAATAATCGGCTTTATAAAATGTTCCGCGCTGCGCGGCTAAAGCTTTATAGGTTCCTATAATCTTTAAATGTACGCGCCACGTCGCGCTGACGCGTGGACGTTTCCCTCTTCTGGCCGCCGCGCGTAATTCGCGACAACCGTTCTCTCCCCGCCGTGCTCTCTGTGTGTATCATTAAAATTCCACGCTTTATGATCGCGAGGTCCTTTCTCGAAGCGGTTATTAATAGTCGCTACGCGCGTCGCTACGGAGCAATTAAAATAATCAATGTTAATATTTGGGTTAAGCGTGTTCCAGGGCTGATGGAGTATGCGCGCGATACATAGAGGGGACGGAAGAAAGAACGAAAGAGAGAAAGGGAGAAAGAGAGAGAAAGAGAGAGAGGGAGGCGGGAGAGCGAAAAATAGATAAAGGAAGAGGCGAAGGGACGAGAAAAGGGAGCAAATTGAAACGAACCGACGAAAAACGCTCAACGCTGTCCGATCGAGCCGATGAAATATCGAACCTCGCCGGTGAATTAATGGGGGAATTTCCATCGCGACCAGCAGCGCGGGCGCGAAAGAACGCGCCGCTTAGAAAAAAATATTCCCCAACGCCGCGATAATATATTTTCCATTGTTGACCGCTGCCCGCTTGTTTTTATTTCCACGCCGGAAATACGTACACGCGGGTACACGTATAATGGCCGCCTGGTCGAAATTTTTGGACTTCTTCAGTGAGGAACACGAAGAACTGAACGCGACATCTTTGCAACCCCGACTATCACGTTCTTAAATCCTCCCTAAGGTTCTTTCCAAAATTTTCCCCAAAATTATCTCTAAATTGTTTCCTGAAATTCTCCCTACGATTTTCCCTAAAATTATCTCTAAATTTTTCCCTAAAATTATCTTTAAATTTTTCCCTAAAATTCTCCCTACGATTTTCCCTAAATTTTACCCTAAAATTCTCCCTACGATTTTCCCTAAAATTACCTCTAAATTTTTCCCTAAAATTCTTCGTAAGATTTTCCAAAATTTCTAAAATTCTGCCTACGATTCTCCCTAAAATTATCTCTAAAATTCTCCCCAAAATTCTTCCCAAAATTTTTCCTAAAATTCTCCCTAAATTGTCCCCGAAATGCCGGATATCGTACGCGTGCACG